CTTAAAAAGGAATGAAAATACTGATTCCTGCTACAAATGGATGAGCTATAAAAAGGGAAAGAAGTCCGTCACAAAAGACCACATATTATATCATTCCAGGTGTATGAAAGTCCACAATAGGGTAATGTATAGACACAGAAACTTGATTAGTGTTAGTTAGGGCAGGGGAGGACGGAGGGATAAGGAGATGGTGGAAATGTTTTAAAGTTGATAGTTGATGTTTTTTGCACATATCTGTGAATATACTCAAAACCATTGATTTGTAAACTTTAGCTCAGTAAATTATATGGTATGTGAGTTATACTACTATATCAAAAAAGTTGTTAAAAAGGAAACATGAACATTGTGCTAAGGGAACCCAACTGAGACTAATTAAAATGTCAATAGTGGTACTGGAAACAGGTCCAAAAAAACCTACTTAGAAAAGGTGATGTTTGAGCTTCTGATCTTGGGTAAAAAGCCATCTTAATCTCTTTTCTTCTCATTTCTGGTCTTCCAAGATGGAATGGAAATTTTGCTATTTGTTTGTCTTCAAATCCTTTGAAAACTTTCCTTGTGCCTCAACAAGTCTTTCATGAAAGATTACCCTCACATCATTAGACAAAGAAAGAAACATTTTTTTTTAAATCACAAGAAAATTAACAGCTACAATGTTTTTAAAAAGTGCAATCCTCACCCCTCTTTAACAGTAATAATTGGTGTCAGCTACCCACTCTAAAAGATCCATACTAATGTACTGGCCCATTGAATCAGGTAACTGTAATTGTTAGATAATCTTCCTGGCTAAATCAGGATGATGTCAATATTTTGAACAGTGTTTTCTGTCTCATTAGAGTTGACAATTCCTACACAGATAAGCAATGGGATACTTGAGATTCTTATATCTTACATTTCAGGGGCGGGGGGGGGGGGGGGGTTGCTAAACTAATAGCCAGTAGTTGAGGGTTAACTATTGTCTACTCATTTATCAATGCATTGATTTATTCAACAAACGTGTGGTTTGCTTACTATAGGATGGACATGATGCTGGCGATACAGAGTTGGCAAATAACACAATGCCCCAGTCTTCCAGGAGCTCACAGTCTAATGGCCGGGGGCTGACAGGTAAGAACAGACTAAAAGAAAATGCTATCTGTGCTTTAGACTACCTGGTGGTGAGGTCAGGAAAAACTTCAGAAAGGAAGCAACACCCAGCGGAATGTTAAAAGACAGAATATGTTCTTCAGGCAAAGGTGGAGTGCATGTATGTACGTATTTGGGGGGGAGGGGAGGTACATAACATGTACCTATTATATTTTGGGGAGGAAGTACAGAACATTCCATTGAAAGGAACAGCCTGTGCAAAGCTATCCTCCTAGGGAAACAGCATGCCCAGAAGCACTGTGCTCTATCCTTTCATAGTTGTGAATGGGGCAAATGGATGTGAATACAGCAATTCTGACTTCTGCATCGACAGGGTTCAGAGGAGGCCAATTGAACCTCTTTCTTGGGAAGCATGATAGGCCCTTAAGCTATTTATCCGATATTTTCCTATCCACACATCCCACAGCATCTTCCAGAATTGGATGAGATCACCCCAGCCCAGAATACTGATTGCCCAAAGGTAAGGCAGGAAATTGGCTCACTTCCCCAGCAAACCTCAGCAAGGGCCCGCCATCTCCATTTGGCCAACCCACCATAGGCAAATAGACTTTGGGGTATACAAGCATTTCATACCTTGGCTGCCGCTCCTCACTCCAGAGGAGAATTCACAAACAGGTTTGAATTACAGCAGTCAGAGTGTCCGCAGCTTCTTCTCTGAACAGAAAGCAGACTCCTGGTCTCTGGTCTATGTAACTGTGGAGTCACTGTGGGTCCTGTGTATCAACCACACTGTGGATTAAATAAACAGCACCTTACATTCATATAATCCCTTATAATTGATGAAGATATATACCACACGCATTAACTCATAGGATAATTCTAAGCGTAGAAGGTCAAGTGTTCTCTTGATTAACAGAGAAAAAAATAGAACTCTGTGACAGTGCCAGTGCTATGCTCCATAGCCTTCATCTTCCACGTGTTCCCTCCTGGTCACCAAATCGCTGCAGCGATTGGCAGGCTTCGAGCTTTCTGACTCAGAAGGAACTAAGTGGAAGGGATAAAGGGACAAGCTGAGCCTTCCAGGTTTGAGCAGAAAGAAAGGCTTTTCTGAAGTCCCACCCAGGGGGCTCCTGTTTACACCTGCCTGACCAAACTGAGTTACATGGACATTCTCGGCTGTCAAGGACTGTGAGGAAACAGTGTTGCTTCTGAATTTCTAAAGTAGAAAAAGGCAAGTGAAGAGAGGATATTGAATGCTCCTGGGTAAGGTAATCATCTACTCTGTCCATCTCTGAGCTATATTTGGTCTGCTTTTTAAGTATAGCTGGTTTGGCTCAGTGGATAGAGCATTTGTCTGTGGACTGAAGGGTCCTGGTTTCAATTCTGGTCAAGGGCACAGGCCTGGGTTGAAGGTTCGATCCCCAGTAGGGGCAGTGTGGGAGGCAACCTATCAATGATTCTCTCTCATCATTGTGTTTCTCTCTCTTTCTCCTCCCTTCATCTTTGAAATTAATAAAAATATATTTGAAAAATAACAATAAACATCATACATTAATTTTCATTAGATATACAGTATTATATAGACTATATATTATTATATATTTTTAGAGGCCCGTTGTAGGAAGAGTCCTACAAGAATAGGGCTTCCTCGGGCCTATTCCTGCAAGAATAGGGCTTCCTGTGACCATTCTCACCTCCTCGCCTGCTTCCCTCCCTTCCCTGCCACCTCGCCTGCTTCTTCACAGCTTTGCCCCCTTCTGCAGCACTTGACTTCCTTCTATGCTGTCTTCAGTCTTCACTCTGCACCTGGATATGCAAATTAACTGCCATCTTGGCTGGGTTAATTTGCATAGTCACTCTTTATTGGCTGGTGGGCATGGCTTGAAGGCATAGCGGATGGGTGGTCAATTTGCATGTTTATCTTTTATTAGATAGGATGTTATTAATGTAGGTTTTATATAATATGCATGTATTATACATAACATATTATATAGGTATTATAGAATATGAAGTGTAGTATTATATGGAATATGAATATATATGATTGGATTTAAAGGAAAGAAGTTAGAATGTCAGAATATTTTGAATGAAAAGATACAACCTTGCCCCTTCTTGCTTTGCATAGAGATCACTAAAATCCAGGATTCCTCAAACTTGCCATTTATATATTTATTTTGTACCCTTCTCTTTTTTCCTTTATTTCTTTTATAGAAATGTTAAATATACACAAAGTTGAAGGGATGCTATAATGAACCCATATTGACCATGGGTAACAATTATTATTTTGCATGTCTTGTTTTGTCTATCCCTCCATTTTTTCCTCTGAATTTTTTAAAGTAAACTAATCTTATTTCAGAACATTAAAATGAATTGTGCCTGTGTCCCTCAAATTTCTTTTTTTTCTTCTTCAAGAAGAAAAATTCTACAAACGTTTAAACATGATTTTGAGAAAATTTTACCCATGGAAATATGTTATTTGGAAATTACCCCTCTTTCTCTCTCTCTCCATATTTTGACCACTTGTTACACAGAGTAACAGCAAATTGTTTTAAAAAAGGAAAATAAATTTAAACACTGAAAAGCAAACTTACAAAGGAACTGGAAAGCTAAGCAGAGTTTGGGCAACCCCTGACGAAATACCTCTCACCTACTATACAGAGCAGGATTCCTCCTCTCATCCTCCTCCCCCATCTTAAGATTTAGGTCATAGTCATGTGTCATTTACAGTATCACTGACACTGAACAAGTGTAGCAATTAGTATTCTATTCGGGTTTACATTCTCTACCTTAAAAAAAAAGTTTTCTAAATCTCAAACCATATGCTCTATAATAGCTGACTAAGCCAGTCCTGCCACAATATCCTAAATGAGAAGTTGTTGAAATAAAAACCTGGCCTCTCCTTTCCTTTTGGGTATGTTGATTACTCTGACCTTCTGCTGCTACCTTATCCTTTAAGACAAATAATCCAGAGTGTTAACAACTACTCCTAATTAAGCGAATGCATCATGTTTTTATTTATTCACGTACAATGCCATCCATTTGCTCAACCATTCATTTGCATGTTCATTCGTTCACTAAACAATTCTTGATCCCCCTGCATATCTTGACCGCTACAATCTTTCAGGATGAGGCTTCTGGGACCTTAATAATACCCTGTTTTCATAAAGCTAAGCAAACCGCTCTCCTGAATTTTTTTTTTGTTGCTGTTTTTTTTTTTGTTTTGTTTGTGGGAATCAGACAGAAACCGTTCGTTCTCTGACTGTGTGGAGAGGAGAAATGTTGATCTGAAAAGGACATTTGCAGAAAAGGCACAGTGGCAGGATGGCGGGGTGAGAGCGGGCCTGGCTGGAAGGATCTCTAAATGTGTATTTTTATCATCCATGTGTTGGATGAAGCGGGGAGCTGCCAGATAGCTCCTTTTCGACAGCTTGGAGTTACTGTTGGGAGCAGATCCATGTATGGAAGCGAAAGCCGAAAGGCACAGATAAGCAGCGATCCAGCTATGCAAACCATGTTTAGAGACACTTAAAGGACAAGTATCCCAGGTCCCTTCTTTCTGGCAAATGTGGAGAAGCCAGCACACTGGCTCTTTTTTCACATCCAGCCCATGCGGACCCCAAGGCCAGGCCTGCTGGAGAGGTAGGTGCAGGGCTTTGCGGTGAAAGTTATCTGAAGGAGCATTCGTGAATAGTCCCTCCTAAGCTCTTGATGTCCCTTGAGGGAAGCTGCCAGATAAATATTATTTATTTTTTTGTGTGTGGGGGGGGGGGAAGGAAGGGAAGGGTGCAGAAAAAGAAAGGAGGAAAGATTTAGGTTGGGGTTCGTGACTAAGGAATTTAAATGAGACAGGGCAGCTTGGTTACAGAGGGAAAGTGACAGTACAGAATGGTTGTCAAGTATAATCCAGGGTCACTTACCGTTCGGAATTTTTGTGGATACGAATGTCCCTCGACGTTGCCAGCACCTTCGGAATGGGCCGCAGCTTCCAGTGGGTTCTGATAGTGTGCATTTTCAAGTGGGGGAGGTAGACTGTGCCTCTTTCTCCCCTCGCTCCTCCAAAGCCAGCACGGACTCCTGGGTGGCTGGCTCTTCCTTACACATAGGAGAAGCTGCTTGTAAACGACATTATTATTTTTGGCAGCTGAAGTCATTTTTTTTTTTTTTTTTGCAATGTTTCTCAGTAGATCGGAGGTTGATTACATCCTGTTCGAAGATTCTTGGGTTTCTTTCACAAACGGGGTCTTACGCAAGTTGAAATTGCTGAAACCAGCTGTACGCACTGGACTTTCCGTACCTTTCCCATTTGCTTGCTTCCTTGTTTGAAGGACCGAGCACTTGGGAAGCTGAGGAGAACATGTTGCAGCGGTTATCATAGTCCCGTCGTCAGGGATGGTTTGGCAATAGCAGATTGAGGCAGAATAATGGAAGCTGGATGCGGCAGGGGTCTGAAGGAGAAGTATGAATAGTATCTGTCTGCCTCTCTTCTGTTTTCTGGGATACAGGCTAAGCTAGCCACATCAGATCCATTTCACTTGAAATGCGACTGCAGTACATCACCACATTGTAATAACTAAAGCAGATCTTTTAAAATTGTAAGCAAAATCTGAGAACACCTGCAAATACAAAAATCCAGGGGAAAATAGTACATGTCATATCTATGAAATGTGTGTGTGGTTTTCTAAGATTTAATTAAAATATGTTTTACATGAGTTAATGAAAGTTAAATTCAAGATTTCTCTTGTTGAGAACACTGTGTCTATATTTCAAGTAGTATTTGAACCAACTATTCATTTAACTAAAAGTTTTCAATCTGATGCTAGAGTATGAGTGGGGGGCAGGGAAGAAAAATTGAATGTGATTTTTTTCTTCCATGATGACAAAACATGACATAGAAAATGGTGAATCATCAACTGCAAGAAAGTAATGAAATGTAATACTGACCTGCAAGATTTTTATTGGGTAAATTAGATAGCTGGGAAAGGCAGTTCACTTAAAGGATATACATGAAATGACTTTAGTTATGTGGTGGTTTCCTTGAAGTTGCAATGTGCCATTGTACCAAAAAGTGTTGGGGGGGGGGGGGGAAACACATGGTTCTATTTTTATTATACATAACACATCATTACTAAAATAATAAACTATGCGTGTTTTTATCAAAATATTCCTTTTTCTTTCTAGTCTATTTACACCAACAACACATTACATTAATAACACATTTGCATTTAACCTTTCCACATCTCTAAAATAGGCTATTCTACTTTACTTAAAAATATTAATTCTGTATCTGAGAGATAGAGTGAGAGAGAGAATAAGCTATGTTTTCTTTTCTTTTTTTTAACTAACTGAAACAAGCTATCATAACGTTAGCAAAAGTGGAACAAGCCTAACAAAAGGGTTGTCTGAAAATACTTCATTAAACACTATATACCAACCAGCTTCCAAAAAGGAACGGCGCAGCATGATTTTGGCAATTTTCAATACATACAATATTATTTTAAATGATGTCACTAGTATTTGTGACCAAATGCAATGCGCATATGACATTATAGAGCATTTTCTCATTTGCTTGCTGCCAAGTACAGTACATTTCAAGTGTGTACCCCTCATGAGAAATGCCTGTTCCTGTTTTTCTTTAGCAAAAATGTTTAATAAACATCATAAAAGAAAGAGTGACTTGTTGATATTTTTTAGATACAGTTTGTCAACATCTACAGAAAAAAAGGTGACAATCAAGCTAGTTGACCTTTCAACTTAGGACTTTTTAAACATTCAGTTATGACTATCCATGTAGAAAATCTAGAAGGTAGCATATTTTGATAAGAGAATTGGAAGTAGTGACAGTCTCATGTGAAAAAAAAAATGACTTAACTGTACTATTTGTGCTACAGTTAGCTGAGAATGAAGCAAATCCATGGTGGTTAAGAATGATAGAGAAGCTTAAAATCTATCCTAAAACCATAGAGTGCAAATGGAAGGCTTCTGTGTACATAATAGGACCAGTCCTGGGCCTTGTCAGTAAGCAGGAGAAGCAAGTATTTTTAGAGACTTTGATGTGAAGTAATATCCCTGAATATTGGGAAAGAAATTTATATGAAAAATGAGAGTAGATGTTTGCTCTCCCAGAGGTATGAAAAAGTTTAGCCCACAGGAAAGGTCATTAAATTTCAATGATAGTTTTGATTACTCTTTTTTAAATATATCTTTAGGAATTTTAAGTAAAACGAATCTTACTCAGGTGTTTACAAACTGTGGAACACTCAGACAAACTGCCAAAGATTTTTAAGAACTTTAAAAATAACAAAAGGCATGAAACTAGGACACTGTGCAGGTGAGGACTTTGAAAGCAAATCAGAACTGATCTCCCATGCTGCACCTCTTCCAATTTCTCAATGTTAAAGTAACATGATATTTTCATGTCACGGCAAGTTATTAGAAGAAATCTTCATGGCAGAAAAACTTTTAAAGTTGTTTTAAGGTATATAGAGGGGGACAAATTTCCATGGCACTTAGTGCTGCTGAGGAGAAAAGGGAAGTTCTTGTCCTATGGACTCCTTCCCCTGAGATTAGCCAGGTTCTCAACTCTAACTGCCCATTAGAAGAATCACGTAGGGAGAGTGAAGTCCACACCACACTTCAAAGGACTAAATATGCTGACAGTGTCCAGGCAAGGGCAGTTACTTTTTTCAATATACTCCATGCTATTGGGGGGGTATTACTATCCCTGCAGTGATGATAACATGTATCTTATAGGTCAAGTGTCTATATTATTGGTAACCAGAACATTTTTTAGCATAATTATTACTCTGGATCAATAGCAATTGCCCCAGGCAACCTGGGACCTATGCATGCCCCACTTAAAGGGCTGTTTTCAAGAATAAATGAGTACTTTGTAGGTGTTCAAAGAAAAGCAGCTAAAGTTAGTAGCTAACAAACTCACCAAATACTTGACTTATAACATATTAATGGGCTATAGACTATAATTCTATGAAAGAATAAACTAGGGGTTACTATATTAAATCCAGGTAAGCTGATTCTTTACTGAAGGAGTTCTTCGAGTTTTTAATAAGCTAATCTGCCTTAAGAATATCTAAGCATTGCTTATGATGTGCAGCATTTCATAGATTTTAGTTTTTCAAGGAGATAATATGATTCCAGCCTTCCAATGAACTCAATATGGGGAGTAATGAAAATCATGGTTCAGGGATAGAGTGGAATAGGTGATGAATGTTATCCAGGATGTTATTCAGAAATTTAAGTTAGATTGCTGGGTGATAGCTCAGTGGTGTGGAGAATTTCAAACCTCAATTTCGAAACAGTGTCACCTTGATTTAGCCGCTTCCTAAATGTCAAGGTTGTTCTGATCTCCTGGAGAGACAAAGAAGCCTTTTCCTGTTTTTCCAAGAAAATCTAATATTTACTCTGTTTTTGTGGTTCTGTGAACTTCAGTTTATGCTAGGAATTTTAAAAAGTAGTTTCTTGGTGGCCTCTTCTCCTCCTCCAGTAAAGAGTTGGGATCAGAGTCAAGGACAGCAGGTCAGAAAACAAAACAAAAAACAGATTCTGAATTGCCATTGACGCAGAAGCCAGGAACACGTATGGAGAAGGAAAACTAAAGTATGTGACATATGGAGGCAAGAAGATAAGCTCAGAAATGAAAGGAGTAACTAACCTTGTTGGAAACTTGCCTTGGGTTCTAGGGTGTAGGCGATGGCTAGCAGCTGCCTTCCCATATACTCTGATGGGAGTTGTGTGGGCAAGCCAGCAACCAGAACACTTGGGAAATTTCACCAACTTCTAGACATTGGCTTACAAGTGATCCGTAAAAATGTAAAGTCGCTTAAAGAATACCTCTTTAATATTCTTTTACCTAATATTTCCTTGGTGGGGTGGTGGATTACCTTCTATGCTCCAAAACTACTAATAATAATGATAGCTAACACATAAAGCAATATCTGGGCACCAGGCATTTTTCTCCATGTTTTTAGATATGTTAACTCATTAAATATTGGCAATAACTATATTAGCTAGATCCTCAGATGAGAAAAAAGAGGCTGAGAAGGGACTAAGTCAATCTGCCCGAGGTCACACAGCTCTTAAATAGGAGAGCTAGACAAATCTGGCTCCAAAGTCAGTTATGACCCATGCTACCATGGGCAAATGCATCACACACATTAACTGAGAAAGGAAACTTCTCTGAGCTAGTTATGATAGTCCTAGTCTTTATAATCATATAGAACATAATTCTTTTTTATTACATTTATTGGGTCAACATTGGTTAATAAGATCGTGTAGGTTTCAAATGTATCTTTCTATGATACTTGATCTGTATAGCACATTGTATGCCCACCACAAATCGTCTTCTGTCACCATAATATTATTCAACTGTCATCCCTTGAAGTCTCTGAAGACCAGCAATTACTATATTTTTCTTAAACTTTCTCTATGACTCCAGTTCCTTTAGTGGTTTCTCTTATGACACACATGTAAATTCCTGCTTACTTTAATGCCTAAAAACTCATCTTTGAATGTGCACTGGTTTGTGTACTTTATTATTTAATTAGTTGATGTATTGAGGGGGATTGAGAGTCAAAAGTCAGCCAAGAAGTACTTTGCAAGTAATTGTGAGGACACCAGGTGCAGGACCTGGAGACCCAACACTATTAAATGTCATCTTTTAAGAGCTTTGTGGATCCCAAATGTCACCCAGCCTGTTTTTATTATGCTGCTTTGATATCTATTGCAAATGTAGTGAGCATGGCTTTTATATCTTCTTCCAATTCTCTGACAAAGGATTCGGCCAAAGGCAAGTACTAGGCAGAACACCTCTCACATTTTATCCATCCAAGTCAGTAATCTTTGAGCACAGTTGTTTAGTAAGAATTTTATTTAATTTCAGTCAATTCATATTTCTCCATTTGGTACCAAGCACCTTTGTGTATTATGCAAAATATCCTGATGATGGTCAGAACCCATGTGCCAATAGCATTTCTCTGTTGTACTAGTTTAAGATCCCTTAATGTTATGGGGTTAGGCTGATTTGACTTCGAACACTGACAGTATATTTGCTTACTTACAATCTTATGTCTCCTTTTCCAATCTTCAAGGTTCCTCAAAAACTACTGGTTTGTTCAGCACTCTTTTAAAAGATGTTTTCATACATTAGAATGTAATTTATTTATGCAAAGCATCTGAACAAATTTAGAGAAGCTAAATACTGTTTACCATCACTTTTAGTTTTGACTTTTGTTTCCCATTGCTAATGTTTACATCCAGCTCTCTGTTCAATCCATGTTTGCAGTTCCCCTAACTCATACTTAATACATTCAAATTAAAACTCATCATTTTACTAGCCACCTGAACAATTTTTTTTTGGTTTACCTCTTTGTTTAACCTTAATGCAAAGAGGCAGTTTAGACTTTTTTTCCTTGACTTGTAGTCTCCCTACAAC